ATATCTGTGCATTGTAGAATTGTGCCCTTGTACTTTTGGATTTACTGTTTTAAAATCTTCAATGTAAATCCTTAACTACTCTTTAAAAAAAGCACTGTCATCAGTAGGCCATATGTTAAAGAAATAACCTGCCAGTTCAATCTTGCAAACAAAAACTCCTTTCAGTTTCCGAAAATGATGAAATTTCGGACATGATAATCCACAGCTTCATCTCTATATCGGCCTTGAGCAGCACCGTATCGGTCAGCTCTTCCAGCAGTGAGCAGCAGCTGAAACTCGCCTCGCCTCAGTCAGTCTTATCGGCCTCCAAGCAGCCAGCCATGCAGGCAGACAAGTGGGACAGGATGCCTTGATAAAACCCTTCAGAAATCACTGTTTGACTTTCTATTTTAAGCCTCAAATGTCTGCACAATCACAGTTCTGACTCTTTCAACAACGTGGCGCTCTGTTTCCCCTCAGAAAGGGGCAAAAGTGCAGGGGTGAAAAAAGAAAAGATCACATTTTGAAGAATGAAATCAGCCAACTAATGTTAGACAGGCTCTGCACACACTGACAGAGGGAATTAGGAGAAGAAATCAGCGTGTACTCAGAGGGAAATTACACGACATTGAGGAGACGAGCTAAGAGGAGAGGCTAGGAGAAGAGCCAGGCTAGAAGGAGAAAATGGTTGATATAAAGTGGGGCATGGAGGGCTGCGGAAGGTTTATAGAGCAAAACCGAGGCCCGTGCTCGGTTCTCTGACCTCCACTCCCCATCCCATCCCTCCCCTGCCATTTTCTTTCTGCCCGCCGCCGCCTCCTCTCAGCCCGGCTTGACTCGGCCGAGTTGGGCCCGACTCTTCGGTTCCCTTACCTTTCTCTGCTGTTTCTCCCAGGCCGGGTCCAGCAGCAGGTCCCGGTCCCAGTCATTCTCTTGCTCCATGTAGGTCTGGACCCCTCCGGCCGAGGGTTGATTATTGGCAGCGTGATAATCTACCATGTCAGCAAAAGAAACCTGAGTGCGCCACAGAGACAGTCAGGAGGGAAAAAAATAAAAAAACAAAAATGGAAGAAAAGCAACGACGGCCCAAATCAGAGAGGTGGGACGGGGAGGGATACACAACCCAGGAAAGTGTCCTTCTCTCGCAGCTTTCAATCGTGAGTGTGTTTTTTAATAGGATGAATATCCGGCGTGTGCAGGCAGAAAATCCCCGCTGCTGCTGTGAGAAGAAAAGCTTTCCCTCTGAACTGAGAGGCTGTTGGGAGGAACCGGCCGCTCCTACAGGCTGCAGCGGCACCGACAAGCTGCACGCGCTGCCGAGCGACACTTCCGGTGCCACCTTTCAAAGTAAATCCATGTGCCTCGTGTACCTATTACAGCTTTATTTACAGGGTCAAGGATTTTATTGGTCACATAATCAATATCTCTCTAAACTGTGCAGTGAAATACTTAGTTGTCTCCTCTGTTACTGTGCTTAAATTATAGATAGCCTATCAAATACACTGAAGCAATACAATATACAGGCCTATGATATACAACAGAGAAAACACATACAGCAGAGAAAATAAGTGCAAAAAGTTATGTGCTAAATTAATTATTATGTAATGATTATATATAGGTTATAAATATAAAATTTCCCACACCTCTAACGACTTCCGTAAAGACCTCTAAATACATTTTTTGTTTATTTCGCCGAGTGTTGCCCTCAGCGCATTTTTCATCCTAAACAAAATTGTTATATTTTCTGCTATTCACTGTTTTTGTTTTGTTTTGATTTAGTTTTTAAACTTTATTAATAAGTTTCTCAGTAAATACACACTCAAGCATTTAAGCACACACACCCCACCCTCCCCCGAAATCCAAGAAGTGGAAAAAATTATAAAATTGAATTATTTCAAAATTATTATTTATAAATGAATTCATAAATAATAATATAAAAAATATAACAACAAACACATGATTAAAGGTTAACAATGTGTAAACAAAGAGACTTGGATTATTGTTACAATTCAAACCACTCATTAGCTTACCTAGTTGGTGACAAAAGTATAAACACATATAAACATGCATACATATGTACACACAGGTAGGTATATGTAGCGTACACACATATAAAGGTATGTACATTACTCTTCACCTTTGTAATATACAAAAATAACATTGAAAACCAAAAATATTATTTAATCAAATATTTAATAGGTCTTCATATCCATCCCTCACATTGATAGTAATGCATTAAACTTTTATTATCAATTTAAAAGGAAGTGTGAAAGTCAGTTTGGGAGCTCTTGTGCAGTTTTGTTGCTCTGTAAATCCTCCCTGGACTTTATGAGCTTTTATTTTGAAGGGCACCTCGCCTACGTTGCGGTGTCAGTCCGTGCATCTGTGTGAATTGACACACCTGTCTCCAGTAGCTTCAGCTCATGAATATTCATACGATATTTGAACATGAGCTTCTGAAAAATGACACATTATAAATCTCAAAAATTGAAATTGAAAACTTACAACAATAAAACACACTAAGTTAAACTAAACTAAGTTTACAGTTTGCAGTGCTGCAGTAAGATTTCAGTACTGATTTAAGATTAGATTCTATAGGCATTCTGATATCTGCCTTAAAGGGCCACACTGTACCAGCGAGTTTTTCTAAATCCCTTAAACTTTACATCACATCTAACCATTTTGCAAACCATGCTGCTGTGTTTTGCAAATTTAGATTTATTTTCCATTTGGTGCTGTGCAATAAGAAAATGGACTGAACTGCATTAAAGTTACATTATCTTCATGTGGTAATTTGCGGGAGCATCTCTCGTCATCCTGGAAAGACCACGCTGAATCTGTCTGCAAAAAATAAAAATAAAAATGTGTTTGTTATGTTGTCTAAGGTCTTTTGAGGTGAGCAGAAAAATTCTTGTCTTGCTTTTTACTTCTGTGATTATGAGTGTTCTAAAGTATTGTAATACCACAGGGTACACGTGTTTGTCTGCCACATTAAAGTCAAAACTGCTCCACCAAATAAAAATCTGCTCAAAGATTTTAGGTCAGCCCCTGGAAAAACTATGATGAATCAGTCTGCCATGATAACATATTAAGGATGATCAACAACACTGTATGTGTCCCCAGTCATGTCCTGAACAGTGAATACAGTGAATAAGTGATGGCATCATATCAGAGATACAGGGCCCAGTGTTTTAATAATGTTAGACTGAAACTTTATTTTGTGCACCAGTCTGTACTCAAACTATTCTGGATCTTAATACCAGAACAAATGCACATCTTGTCTTACATGTTTGTCTTTGTTGATGTTGCAAATGGAACTGCTGTGAGGCAAGAAACATTACAGAGTTGATCTCACAATAAAGTTTCATCACAACTAGTGGTTCAGAGGGGTCGTGACCTCTGTGAGCATCACCAGATGATGTGGGGCCAGAAGGTGCTCTTTCATTTAGATTTATTGTCCTTACTATTTTTCAACTTTCTAACTGTAAAATATCACATGGCATCTAGTTTCTCATGTGCCTCTGATAATGAAAAGAAAAGGCAAATCAGTCGTTAGCAGTTGATTCACATCCAGCCTGTGAATCATCAAGAGAACCACTGACCCAGAGGAATGACACCCATAAAACAAAGAAGCCTGAGCTGTGGTATCATCCATTACGTTGAGGCTGAGGCTGGTTTGGAGGGTGACGGTCCCGCCTGCAGGAGCCACCGACAGAAGTAGGTCATGCTCAAGCTGTCCTGGTCAATTAGCGTCTCCGTGCTTGTAGCAGTATATAGACTGTAACAACACCATCAAAGAGTACAGAAGCATTTAAGTTCTTTGGCACCATGCTTCAGTTGTCATGTTGTCCTGTGATGTGTGCAGCTCTGCTACAAACAGCTCTGTGATTGGTCAGTCTGAGTCTGGGCTCAGTAGCAGAAAGGAGCTAATTATGATTAGGGCTGTTTTTATTTGTATTTTTCTATGAGGGACTAAACAAAAAAGAGTTGAGTCTCAAATGCTCACCATGGATTTATTAAGGGACCTGGACACAGCACTGGAAGCAGGGCCCTGTTCATCCCTGTGAAAGTTGCTCAGTGGCGCATGATGCCAAAAGAGTTCTACTTCTCTGGTGTAAAATATCCCCAGATCTTCCGCTTCACCGTGCCCATAGAGCAGATGCACTAGAGAGCTCCACCAGTAGAGTGGCTAACTTACGTCAGGCAAGTGCCTAACTTTTGGTTTAGCCCTCCGCTAACTTCAGTGTGGAGAAAAAGATTTAATCATGCGGCCCCTCTAGACTTTCAAAATGTTATCGGACCAAATGGATCAAGTCCTAATTGTGAAAAGGGTCATTTCATGGGGGTTGTGAGGCTCAAAAAATATGTCCACTGATTTACAGTGGACTCTCTTTCCCAATGTAAGTCAATGGTAAAAAGTCTTTTTGGGCCCCATGGCATCAAATGATGGATGCAGAAGTTGTAGTTACACAGTTTGGCCACTATGTCAAATTGCCTTTAATGTCGGGCACACTTCCTGGGGGTCTGATTCTCACCAGCCCATTGTCATTCCCAGGTTTTCAAACATCAGTGTCACACTCCTTGGCATCTCATAGCAACTGCAGCTGTGGCACACTGCTGAAACACTTTGCATCATGTGGTTAATGCTGTGGAACAGTCACGGTAAGGTTTAGGCAACAAAACCGCATCATTAGGTTTAGAAAAATGTTTTGGCTTAAATTAAGTACATTTGTAATGTAATATAATGTCACATAAATACGTAACGTGATTGATGTCAGTGACTGTACGTTAACTGCATAATGTTATGTTAAAACAACACTGACTTTGTTTAACACAGGACACACACTGTGACCACTGGATCAAGGTCCAGTTTTGTTTGACCGACACAGTGTCAAAAACGTTTCTTGAACTGCCACTTGAGGCTGCCTCCAAGAACCAGTGGTCAGAAATAAAGCTCGAAGCTTTAAAATGGCAGTCCACAAACCAGTGGGCAATGTCACAGTAGCTACGTTAATTATTTTACAGCAACAAACACTTTTTTTAATTTAATCATACAAAGAGCGGCAACAGTACCTGCCATTAAAATAAAACAAATGTATGTTTATTTCTTTAAAAAGTGTTCTTAAAAAGAGAGGATCCACCCAAATTAAAAACAGTATATAAATATATTTTCACTTGCTTCTATAATAAATATAGTTTTGGTTTGATTTGAAAATCTGTGAGTTTTTGGAAGTGATTTTCCTTCAAACGACTGTTGACTGAAGAAGTAGACCCTCTATGAACACTGCACAGTGAATTCTGTTGATTTTCTAGTAAAGTATGATATAATAAAGTATAATATTTGATTTTCAGTTTCAAAGCTGTGAAACTGAATTCCAGTCTCCTCCAGTGGTCTGAGGTGGTGGCAGATATTTCAGAGACAGATATCTGAAACAAAAACTATGTGCATGGAGAGATACCAGTGGAGGTGAGTGAGATGTTTGTTTCTTTGCTTTTTTTGTTCCGGCTGTGTAGATTTTACTCTTTGTGTTAGAGTTCTCATTTGTTTTTGTTATTGCTGGGAACTGACCCTTTGGGTTATATTTGTTTAATGCTTTCCTAAAAAACAGCCACAGGTTGCAGTTCATAATATTTTGAATATACAGTGACCCTGGCTTTTATTTCCATTTAAGTAAGTTCCTGTGGGATCAAACAAAAGAGGGAGAGAGGGAGAGAACGAGGAATGAAAAGTGTTAGAGAGAAAAAGTTTAGTAAACATATACACATTTCAACAAAGCACACTGAGAGTAGAGAGAGACAGAGACAGGAAGAGAGACAAGAAAGAGAGTTTGGGTGTGGCTGATGTATGACTGTCACATGCCATCCTAAAAGTCACTTTGAACCAACACAACAGCAATGCAACAGGATATTGGACTCTCTCTCACACACACACACACACACACACACACACACACACACACACACACTGCCTCTGGTATGTGTAACGCTGTTCTCACTTTAAAGAATGATGCTGGAGGATGGATATTTACACATACCAGACATCAGCAAAGAACAGAGGGTCATTTCTCAAAATATCCCCTGTGGTTGGGGTCATTACAGAGATGGACTCTGTAGAAAAGCTACAAAGAAGTTCTCTGTGACCAGACTAGTAGAGGAATAATCAGTGTGCATTTTCAACCACGGCCTTAAACTAAACAAACAGAAAAACCAAGGAAACATAAATATTTAGAAGAACATAAAATGTTTGTGATATCAATTTAAAGAGAAACAATTTAATATCTGACTGAAATCCTGCAAAGCAGAAACATTATGTTAAAGGTCTCATATTATGCTCATTTTCAGGTTCGTACTTGTATCTGGGGTTTCTGGAAGAACACGTTTACGTGCTTAATGTTAAAAAAAAGCATAACTTCTCTCTTACTGTCTGTCTGAATATACCTGTGTTAGCACTGTGTCTGAAACACTCCGTTTTAGCGTTAAATCAACCTCCTGAAAAAGCCTGGTCTGCTATGATTGGTTAGTGTTTGCGGGTCTTCCACATCTGCACGCTTGGCATCTTTGCGCCATCATTACAGCCAGGGAATAATTATAACGGCACTGTAGTGGCAGTTTCTACCTTTACAGAGTATAGTTGCGACTTCACAACTTCATGCAAGTCCTGACAGCTTGTTTAAAGTCACAGTTTCTGAATATGGATTGTGTATATTTCTCTGTGGATTAAAGGTTTTGATACTTTCACAGTATTAATATGGCACCTATACCTGCTTTATAATAAAAAAGATAAGGACATATGACTTTTTAGAATATGTGCCCTTTAAAACCTATTTCCATTCCCTGTAATAGAAACTCAAATTTTAATTGGTCTTAAATTGAACAAATAAGGGCCAGCTTTGTGTCCTGGGCTAAAGCACAATAAAATGACAAACTACTTTACTGTGTATAAGATAGTATCATAAGACATGGTAAAGTGTATGAATAGGCTGTGCTAACAGCTCAAAATATTTGAGTTTACTCCATATCTTAATGCTGAACTTGCTCTCACGAGGCTGGCTCCTCAGTGTGGCGGAAAGAAAAGCTGGAGCACTGGAATATTTAAGTTTGGCTGGTTTGATGGGCTGAAGACATCCCAGCCAAACATCACCTGACTCCTGCAATGATTAAAAGAGAAAAAGAGAAGTGCAAAATTATCAAAGATTATTGGCTATATGTTTTCACACAATTTGTTCATAAGGATTTTGTTATTTTGCAGTGAAAATGAGCAAACCAATGTCCACTGCTCACTTAGTAAATCTGAAGAGAATGATGTCACTCGCCTCTCAAGTGAATTGACAGACAACAAATGTTTTTGAAGAGATACTGTGAAACTTTAATGATGCCAGTGTGGACACACAGTATTATCATCTGTCGGTTTACAAAGGCCATAACCAAGAAAACTAAAAAAACAAACTAACAAAAAAAAAAACAACAACAACAAATGGGAAGAATTCAAACAGTGTGATAATGCAAATGGAAATTTTGGCATTTCAAAAAAAATAATGAATGTAACAAAGCATGTATAACAGCAGCATAAAGGTTTTAAAATTAGGGCAGCAGAAAAATAAAAACACATTATTATTATTACTACGTGAAATGCACATTGTACCTTGCATGTTAATGTCTTGTTTAGATGGATTTTGCAGATGTCATGACCAATTAAAAAAACAGCTAGCGATACTGTATAAGCATCAGGTCTGAGTCTCTCAGCGTCGATGAGGTCATCCATGGATACAAGTACAGATACATTCATCCATCACATCTGTGCAGTCAGAAAAGGTCTACATTAACTAGCCTGGATATAAAGTTCAATTTAAAATAAATACATGAATCTACTTCTTTCAAATGGTATAAAGGTTTCAAATAGCATTTTCTTCTGTGTCACTGTGACTTTACCTTTTGAGTGCTATCCAACAAATTCTCAGTAATGATTACACTAGTTTTAATACTAGTAAAACTAGTTTGTCTGAGCCTCTCATGAAAAGCTTACATTTGACCTAATACACAAAATTGTGTACAAAAATTATTATCTAAAATTAGCTGTATGAAATTTATAAAATATCCCAGTGATTTGTAATGTGGCAGAAGCTGCAACAAGTGGCCAGTAAAAAGATGACCTGGAGCCAGCTGTACCAGCTCTTGTGTTTACTTACAGGGGATTTAGGTAGTTATTTTACATAGCTGAATATGATTCATTATATATTCATACATATA